TTTTTGAAATAACTACATGAAAGCTGAAGGTATTGAAGGTATAAGCTCATGAGGAAGGTTCAGAATCTGTGAATTTCATGTCAATTTTATCTGAGACCCAGATAATAAGACATGTTTAAGGAAATTCAGATTAGTTTTGTCTTAACACGAAAGCATTTCATACCTATCAATAGGAATTTGGCGTGCACATGTGACTTTCTTTCATAGTAATTAGTGAGACTGGAAGAAGTAACCCAGTAGTAAGAATTTTTAGTAGTAGAATTATCAGTCATCTTTCTTTTCAAATCACTTGAGGGTTTTATAACACTGCCTGATATTGCAGGACCCTTTTGGATTTAGTATTTAGAGACAGTTCTCCCACCACAATGAGATGTGAAAACTTTGTCCAGGAATCCCTAATTTTTCCTTTTCAATAATCATAACTATACAGAAATTATAATTTAATGTGCAGAGCTCTGATATAAGTATTTACCTATGCATGCATGTCAGGGCAGATGGATGTGAACAATGTGTATGCAAGCACATGTGCATATTCAAACACTCACCAACTCATGCACTCACTAGGAGCAGTGTATGCAAATGCTTTATGACATATAAACACTTAAGGAATGGGCTAATTTCTGTAGGAAAAATTGAAAATACTTCAATTTCTTCTGCTATTTCAAAAAGAGAGCAAGAATTATTAATGGCCTAAATTGTGAGGCGTGTTTTTATTATTATTATTATTGTTGTTGTTTTTGTTGTTGTTACTTCCTAGTAAAATAGCACCGAGAATTCCAGTTTTGCAGCAAAAGTGAGAGCAAAATATTAGGTCACTGTTTAATTACTGACAGCTTGCTGTCTAAGGACAACTATAGAATAACAACGATCTGCAGACAGACTTTATTCTTTGAAAATTATTCTAATGCTGTTTTAATTTATAGGAAGCCATAGAATTGAAACTCCTTGGAACTCATTCCTCTGCAGCTAAAAATGTCTTTCTTTTTTTTTTTTTTTTTTTTACAAAAGAAAAAGCAAGCAGGTAATTTGGGATAGAAAAACAGTGCTGAATTTGAAGTACTAGATTGTAAAAAAGCTATTTTTGAATAATCTGTAATATTGGTTTGAGGGTTTTTTTCCTATTTTTGCAGCAATTTTCTTCAACTGTACTTTAAAAACTTTTAATACAAGGTTTGTGGCGGGCTGTTCTCTGTATACAGTCAAGCACTGTGCAAACACATAATGAGAAATAATACCGTCACCAAAATGCTTTCAGTCCTACCTGGAGTTTCTAAAAAGACCTGGTTGCTAAATCACACAGCTATTCAGCAGCTCTTTTCAGGGTTTTATTTAAGCCCCTCAGGAAAATTCACCCCAGATTTTTATCCAAGAGGGATAGAGAAGGGAAGTACAACAGGTTGGGTGTTGAGCTAAAGGTACCTGATGGGAAGATGCTCTTTAAAGCCAAAAGGACATTTGACTGCATATAAGTGTGATATCAGTGCAGCTTAGGGAGATTTTAAGGTGCTGTATCCAGAAGCAGTTCTCTCTCCTCATTTTCAGATAATCCACCAGAGCTTCATCTATTATTGTTCTTTGGAGTAGTGGGGTGGGTTTGAAGCAAACTGCCTGGTTTGAATGGACCAATTCCAGAAGCTCCACTTTCAGTCTATAAAATGCAGCCCACCCCTACAGGCACAGGAGGGTCCAAAATATTTATTTTGCCACCACACAGGTTCTTTTTCATCCCCTTTCCTACTGCAAGTAATCATGCCAGAGGCATTTCCTAAGCAGAATATTTCCTTGCAGGGGCTGTGCTGGTTGAATCTCATGTGAATAGTTTAAATTTACATGGAAAGTGAAACAAGTCAAATTTCTGCTTTCTGGGATAACATCTGAAGGAATATAAAGGGAGCAAAGCAAGACCATGTATTTTACTGATTATATTTCCTTAAATTATATATATGAATCTCATAGTTTAAGAGTGAGAAAAAAAATTGTTTATGAAACAGTTTCTTCTTTATATCTTTTTAATACTAACCAGAGTATTTTTGTAGCATTTATGATATCATTAAGTGAACATAGAATTTCTTGAAAGTAAATAACTGTTCCTGCTATTTTATAGACAATTTTGTGCTATTTTGTTCTGTTGTGTCTTAGCTATTTTCAATTAAAATTGATAGAAGTGGCTTTGTATAGTAGGAAGACAATTTAAAAAATAATATATCATAGGCTATTTCATCCTCTGGATCCCAAGTGCTTTATATTCAGGAGTTACTTTACCACTGAAATGGATTGACCCAGTTGCAGAACAGTGGGGAGCCCGAGACAGGGGCAACGGATACTGAGTAGTTGTGATGTGCCTGTCAGAGAGGTCTAATCCAACCCCCCTGGACTCTATCCTGCATTTCAAAAATCTGTAAAAACACATGCATGTATAGTATTTTTCACTACACCCAGGGAATCAGAAAAGTCTGTCTCTATTTAATCTAAAGTGGTCCTTCTGAATAGGTTTTTGGCTGTGTAAGTTTGTAGCTAAATTCTCCATCTTTTATTGTAGAGGTGAAGAGTTCAAAGCCCAAGGGGTTTTAGTTTATTAGGAATGCCTCATATCTATTATTTGTGCAATTTCAAACAGATAGCTACATTTTCAGGACATAATTAATTTTGGCATCCAAGGGTACTAACCACACTTAACAAATATATTTAATCTTTTTTTTTTTTTATTTAAGCAGATACTCACTACAGTTTTAAGTTAATGAAATTTGAAGAAAAAAATTAAAAAATAAATTTGTGCTTGTGTCAGGCAGATCTGGACGAGCAACAGTCACAGAGGTCAGGTAAAAAGCTGTCTGGGTGCACATAAACAAGCAGCTAACAGATATTTTGTATGGCCAAGAAGAAAACAGGAACTTTCTCAATTTGAGGGAAAAACCCAATAGGTTTTCTGTAAAACCCTACACATATCTCACTTGTCAGAGAACTAATACAAACCCCCCAGTGACATTGATGGAAAACTTTAAATGGCATTCAAACTTTAAATGAGGCCTTAAATCTCTTCAGTGTGGGCCATTAAAAGTCTCCCATCAATCAGTTTGTGACTGTGAGCTTGTTTATCCCTTCCTATTGTGTTCCTGTGTGAACTACCAGCTTTAATGCTACAGAGCAAACTAATTCTACAATCACTCTTTCCCCAGCATCAGGACTGGAAACTGAGAGTGAACAGGTCTGTGGCCAGAGGAAATGGATAGAGATTGCTTGGAGTTGATGGCTCCTGCAAAGACCATGGTGTTGTGGGCTTTTTCCTCACTCTTTGCTGCAATCCATTTGTTGCAAGGGAGAGGAGAAAAGGAGAAAATAGTTTCACAGGTCAGTATAGTGAATCTTTTGAGCAAATGAGCTCTAAGCTAGGCCAGAGAATAAGGAAAGAGAAGTACTCCTGGTCTGGAGTTAGCCCAGACCCAAAGTCCAGGTTGGCTGCTGTGGTCAAGGCAGTATTTCTCTGCTTTTGCCCTGCTTAACTATATTTGCCATTCTCCTGAAGCAGTGAGAGAAGGTGTCTTTGTTCTTCATCACTGTCTGCAGACATTAGGTCACTTTGTGCTGTGGAGCAGGTGTCGTGCATACTTAAGAACCCATCAGAACCCATAAAATATTTAGATCTGTTCTTACTTATGCCAGGCCTTATCTTCAATTTCCAAATTCACAGAGTGACAAAAAGTAACTATGTACAGACCTAATGCAAGCAGCTTTATCTGACACAACACAAAGAGGTGGAGAGATGCAGAGTGTTATTTTACCTATATCCAATACTGCTATGTATGCCATAGCCACTTAGCTCCTTTGAAAACATATTGAATCCATCCCTCCTTCAAAGACCCAGCAGAGAGATCATAAACCCCAAAGGTTCTGTGGGCTTTTAAATCTCCTGCAGGAGTAATCCATAGAGGAACTCTCCAGAAGAGAGAGAACCTTACATTACAGAGCATTTTATCCCCAAAATGGGGAGCTGAAGATGTTTGTTCTTGGATTTAGGCATGCAGGGACAACAGATAAATAAGATAGGATATGGGTTTTACAAGTGTCATATCACTTTCATTCCCTTTAATTCTGTCAAATACAAGAGCTCCTCCAAATCTGTCTTTTGAAAGGCACATTCACATGTTCAAGCAAGTTCAGAAGCATAGTGAAGGAGACTCATTTTTACAGGGAAATATACTGGAATTTTCACCTTGTGCAATACACCTTGATGTCTGGGAACCCTACTTCTGAGCAGTGAAAGGCAGCTCACCTCACTGCTCTGTGTCTTGGCTTTCCCACTCTCCCCACATGGACAAAAGAACCAAATGTACTCCTTTTTCATGTCATTTTGAGATCTCCTGGTAACAAGTGCTTTAAAATAACTGGGTTTGCCAAGGATGTCAGTGGTCACCCCGCTGTGACACAATGCTGTTCTCTGTTATTTCCTGTGTCAGTGATATCTTTGTAACCTATGTCCCTTAGGTGTTTTGACTTCTATAAAAGCAAGTATTTTTAACCTCTAAGGAAAGCTTGTAATGACATGGCCTGCCTTGAAAGGAGAGAGTGAGTCAGGGCATTCATGGTTTGTCAAACAACAATTACTTTGCTGTATAACCTTAGTCCTTGAAAGGCCGCTTAAGAAAAAAACCCTTATGTTTTACCTAAAATGTAAACTTTTTGTAGTCCAATCAACTTCAGGTGATATGCATAAAAGTGAAAGACAGAGGAAAACAAACCTGTGGTAACATAGTGTTTCTTCTTCCTCCTTCCTATCATGTTTGAGTACATCAACCAGTTTAAAAATAAATTTAACAAGAGTGTAAAGAACTCATAGATATTCAGTTTCTGTAGGTTTTGTGAATGAAAAAGATTATCGGAGACAGCTTAAATTAGGCACTAATGAATCTACATCGTGCTATGGATACACCATTCTTAAAATGATAGAGTCATAGTACAAACATGAGACAAGCAGTATCACTTTATCATCCCCAGATCACCCCATTCCTTATTTCAGCCTGGAGACAGCATCTCAGTTGACTGTCAGCTGACAGGCCTCGTAAACATGATGATGGAGGTGACCTTGAGTGAGTAACTTATCTTCTTTTTTTTGTTTAAAAAACTGATATAATAATAGCAGTAACAATAATAATCTAATATGTACTTCAAAGGGGAAGGTAGATTAATTAATGTTTATTAAGGACTTCTAGATGAGATCTGATGATGAAAGCACTGTGCAAGTGCAAAGTATTATTATTTTTTATTATAGCTTACAGCTATGTAATTGATTAAATAGTCCAAACCTAATCCCACACAGACTCACTTCTGCACTAAAAACCCTGATTATCTTCATGCACAGACAGCTGATACTTGACTTGCCCTGATGACATTAACTGCATCAATGGTCTCTTTATGTTACTATTTCTAGGTTCCTCTTGTTGACATACTCCTCCATTATCTTCTTTGGATTTAAATTAAAATTATTTCCTCCAGTAACTAATAATGCCAGCAAAAGCTGGTTTTGGTATTAAATCTGGGTATTAGGTGGCAGCTATCACTCTTTAATGATTTAAATTACTTGGGCCCATAAAAATCATTTAAGATTTCCTGAAATCTAGGGACAATGCTAACACAAAGCTGTGGAGAGTCCAGGCTTCTTCATTTTTACCATGGTGTCTGCTTGGGAAAGGGTGGCCCCACTTTAGCTGGGGAAGAGAGAATAGATGCAGTGGACAAGACAAATAAGTCCCTGCAAAGTTCTTGAAACCTAAGCAATGTTGGAGAGTGAATTAAAGGGACAAACCATTAACAGCAGATCACAATGGAGTCCTAGTCAAGTATTTCAGGTGATTTCTTCCCATTTATTTGCTGGAGACTGGAGGACCAACAGTGGCAACTAATACCTTAGGACTGGTAGATCATTGTTCTTGGTGTCCCTCTCTGCCATATGGGCAAAGAATTTTTTTAATTATCATATGACTGAGATTTTAATTTGGCAAAACACAGATTTATCACAGGTTAACACTCTCACTTCCCAGAAATTTTGTGGAGGATATTACAGACATTGCTCAGGCACTAACCCACAAACAACCAGCATCCAGTTCCTTCTTTCTTCCATGAACCAGAATTACTGGATTTCACCTGTATGGGGAAGATGACAGGAATAGTAGAGCAAGTGATGCCAAAAGCTTGACAGTCCTTCATGGGCTTAAGAAAGGTTTCTGTTTGGAAGAAACCTTTGGAACGGTGAAGTGCACCAAACTCTGGACTTAAACCAGCTAAGCAAAGTCCAGAACTGAGCTTTGTTCTCTGTGTAAATGCACCAGCCTGCTTGCAAGTAGTGTGTGAATCTCTAATACAGAGCTCACAGATGAGTCATACAAACATTTGACTGGGGACACTTAAGAAGGGCTTTTTGAAGAGAAAGAAGGAAATGGAGAATGAAAATGACAGACTAATCAGGGCTGTGAGGAAAGCAAACTTGAATGGAAAGAGTAGTAGAATCAAAGCTCCTCTTGACATTTTTCCCAGTTTGCTTTGACACTGAAGAGCTTTCAGAGAGATTTATCTTAAGACAGTAGCAAATAAAAATCTATGAAGAAACTCCCAAGAGGCAAACTGAGTTCCTGACCTGTGTCTGGTGTCTTTCCTGTCTTATGGATTCCAGTTGCTCTGTGTGACCCCAGTGCCATCAAGGTTTCACATAAATTACAGAGCAGAGCATTTTAACAGGAGACACTGCCAGGCATGCTGATGTTGGCTGAGTAATTCCAGCAGAAAGGAAGAGTGGAACCTACTACTGCAATGCCAGCTCTTCTATGCCAGCACACCTGTAAGAGAAGTTGGATTTTGTGGTGAAATAAGAATTCATGCTCTTCTTGAGTGCAACAATGAGTTCTCATGATGGCTATCAGTGCTCCTGGGTTGGCTTTGTGTTGATGTGCCTATAGTAGGACTGTGCTGGCAATGGGGGCAGGCTACACAGAGCAGCAAATTAAAGAGAGTATGACAAGAGCCTCTGGGTATCCTGTTTGCCTAGAGATTCTCAAAGAGAGTCTGAGTGTTGACATCACCCCTACTGTGACTGAGGGTAAGTTTCTTAAAGGGTCACAAGATTTCATAAATAATCTTTCCCCTACCACTTCTCTGTATGAGGAAAAAAATTATCTTCTTGCCAAAAATACACAAACAAATGAAGTTTTGCAGTCTTAGAAATGACAATGTTACAGTTTTTTACAGGCAAGTGTAAGTAATCACAGTGTTTGGGTTTGCTTGCTGTATTTTTTTCCTTCCAAATCCTTCATGTCTCTTTAATTTGTTTCAGATTTTACCTGGGGTCTTGTCACACCAGTTTACAATTTTCCTGGTGCCCTGCGTTCTCAGTATTCCAGGGGCTCCTGGGAACTTTATTTGTGCTGGCCAAATGTTGACTGAAAGGGAGTGAGGAAGGAGGATTTGGTTCTTTGTAAGCTCCAATGGTAAGTAGTCCTGAGACCCTGAGAGACACACAAACCTGGCTGAAGAAAACAGCAAGTCAGGATGTAGAATCTGTCATCCTCAGCACCAACAGTGTAAAAGGGGACAGAATCTTTCTAGGGGAGCTTAATGAATTATTTCCATGGCAGCCAGCTTGCAAATCTGTATCTGTAACCCTCATTAAGAACTTATTAACAAAAATCTATCCTGGAATCAGGGGAGGTACCAAAAGGTAATGGCTCACAAAGCACAATTCTAACTGCAAAGTTCCATTTCCCATTTGCTGTGTCCTCTTGCCTTTTTCACTGTACTGGTCTCCTTCCACTCTCATAGATACTCAATTTCAAAGTAAAGGAGATTCAGAAAATGCTACATCCAGGTGTATGCTACGTATTTGCTAGGCAGAAAATGGAGAGCTTGAAGAATGCATGACAAATCTTTCTCCATTCTGTATGCTCCCATAGACCAGGATTTAAGCTAAGTGGCATTCAATGTGCCCTTTCTTCTAGAAATGCTAGGAAATCATATAGAATCTTAATTTTACAATCATGTCTGTATGTAGTCCTTCCCTCTTTTTTGTTTTCTTGCCTTGTTCTTCCTCAGCAGACTTGGTAAATGTTTGCATTCTCAAAATCTTCTACTGCTTTTCAAAGTCAATTCCACTCCATTACCCCCAAGTTAAAGTGTCATAGAGAAATGCCATATAAATGATGGGATTCCAGTATTCAAGTACAAAACTGAAAGTTAAAAGTTAGAACAAGAATTCAGCAAAGGAAAGGGATTTGGGCTACATACCTCTTACTCTGTGTCAGCTACCCCTGCCTTGCCTTCCCCTACAGAAGAGGATGTGCTCTCTTGCAGGAGGATGTGGGCAGACCAATGATTATATGCTGGAGTAGCCAGGGCCTTGTAAGCTGAGCAGCTGCAAGGGAGCTGTTGAGGTTAATGGCCAAAAGCAAGTTTCTTCTTGCCCCTAGAGAGAGATTCTGATGTCATAGCTCAGATCCAGAACAGCTCCCCTAGAAAAGCACAGAAAGCCTCCCAGTGGCACAAGTCCCTTTCTGTTCTTGCCAAGGTTCATTTGGAACCTCCTGCCAGCATTGTCAGTCAGTTGGAGACACAGGAGAAAATAACTTTTTGCATGCTGTATTTGATGGAGAGAAAATCTTCTGTCAGGCTTCCTTGTTCCACTCTCAGCATCAATCTTTGCTTTCTGCTTTATTTATCCAAGGAACTCACCTTGGCATCAAGAGGGCTCTCTCTCCAGAGAGAGCACTCTTATAGCAATTGTGGAAGAAGCAGCTGGGCCTTGGATGAGTATTAATCAGTAATTGTAATTATATAATGAATATGGGAGCTGTTATGCTTCTGCAGGACATTGTGCCAAGCTTTTAGCCCTCTGACAATTCAGCTGTGGCACTCTACCCTTCACTATCTAGTCTGTGGGCTGAGTTTTGCCCCTTAGGAAGATAATCAGTCTGTTTTGATCCAGATTTGGGTGGGTTTGTTTTTGGGTTTTTTTTTGTTTGTTTGGGTTTTTTTTTTTTGACTTTGTATCTGTATTAAAATATGTCAATAGTTCCTGCTGTTTCTGCAGAGAAGTGTTTCAATCTTGACTAGTGATCATCACAGTATTCTTGTGAGCTCAAAGACAATGTTGTAGAATTTGCTCTAGAAGAGAGCCCAGTGGTGGTAATGTCATGTCAGGTGGGAACACTGCCCACATTAAGTGACATGACATATTAATGGACCATTCGATGGACCTCTTGATGGCCTTTCTTCCATCCTGTACCCCTTTTCTCCGGACGTCTGCCAGGGTCAATTCACCTGAGGTCTCAGGACAGTGTCCCTAACCCACAGCCTCACAGAAGTACCCAGTGCATTGCCTCAAAAGTCCTGCAGAGCTCAGTGGGTTTTCCCAGGGAATGTGACATGCAGGAGGAAGGAGCCAGTGGGACAGTCTGCCATGTCCCAGATTTGCACAACAGCATGGGGAGGTGGGACCAGTGCAACTGCTCCCCTGTGGCAGTGAGTACCTGCTTGCTAAAGTCACAGACAAAATTCATTGCAAGGAAGAGATTTGAACTTTATTCTCCCAAATCTCTGAGTTATTGCCAGCTGCAAGAGGATGAGCGCTGAAAGTACGCACGGAGCTCAGTGCTCACTCATTTCCAGATTAGTCCCCCCCATGTCCCAACATGCTAAGAAATATAGCAAGCTCTTCACAGGTGTGACAAAACAGGTCTGCAGAGCTCTACAGGAATGTCCCTGTAGCCATTTCAGCCTGCTCCCCGAAGGTTGGCCTCATGGGAGATGTGTCAGAATTAGGAATTTAGGCATTTTGGTAGTTTTCTCCAGGTGTCCCAGAGTACAATGCTTTGCACCTGGTGCCATGTGGTGCCCCTGCAGTGGCACCTTCATGGCTTAATGAGAACAGTGTTGAATTCAGTGTTGACTCGCTGGTTTCTGACGAATTGACAGGTTTAGCTATGACTTGGAGGGACATGAACATTTTGTGGACTACTGAAAAGCCTAATGCAGGTCTCAATATGTGTTTTCTAGGGACAGACTGATACCCAGATGAAGATAAAACCATCAGTGCCAAGCAGAATTAACAGTGGCTGGAGAAAGAAAGCCAGTCACAAATTTCCAGCATCTGAAATGCAATTATAGAACAGTATATTGACAAAAAATTGTTGAAGCAACCTAGTGAATCAGAGAATTGACAACCTTCTGTCTTCATTTCATTTTTTTCTTAATATATAGATACTTATTTTATTAGGGAAAATGGCCTCTCTGTTTATAATGCTTTTGTTCACCTTCTCAGAAAAAGGAAACAATTGAAAAAAAATAACCTGATGATGTCTTGATTCAATATTTGCAGTGAACAGCCTGGGCTGATAGTACTTTTTGCAGAACAAAGAGGTAGACAAATCACGATGAATACCCAGAATGGCTGAAGCCCAAGGTATTTTGGACTCGGATGCAGGAATAATCTTTTAATTTGTGTTGAAAAATAAACTGGGCAAAGAAATTGAATAAATAATAAATATGTTTTGTGGCAGCACAGCAAGAGGCTTATTGTTTGCTTGCTTCTAAAGAGGGACAGTACATCGTGTTCTTCCCACACAAGTTCCAAACAACTTTGTTTGAACTGAGAAATTTAAATCCATGTTTCTAAAACAAATCTATCTAAATATTTTTATATTAACAGCAGTACAAGAAAACCCAGCCTGCCTGCACTTTCTGCACAGCAGTGATATGCTATTGTTATTGTTGCTATTAATTTCAGCTGCTATTATTGCTGGTGACAGTAGAAGAGGGTCCATGGCCACTGCATCTCATCCTCTGCTGGAGGAGACCATTCCTGCTCCAGGCAGGCTGTAGCATATAGATGGAATAGAAAATATTATCCAAAAATTCTACAGACTTTTTAAAAAAACGGTGACAGAACAATCTTACTGCAAACTCAAGAAACACCTCTCAGGACCATAGACCTAATAAATACACACTGGTATTCATATGCAAGTCTAAATGGCAGGTTTAGAACTACTGCCTTTAGATATTAAAAAAACCCCAACTAACTGAACAAAAAACAAACTAACAAAACCTTCATAAACTTGGCTCAAAGCATTTAGTCTACTTAAACAATTGAGAAAAAGAAATTTAAAAGAGAGGTCACTTAGGCCTTCCACTGAAGAAGCCAAAAGGTAACACTTAATCTAACTCTACAGTTTTTAAAGTCTTCTTAGAAACCAAACTGTGTTCAGAAGAAATGGCATTTACTGATCAACTGTATTTTTAATGCATAAAATGGCTGTAGGAGCAACAGTGATGTAATTCAGTTGGTATGGTGAAGTGGGAAGTGATGGAGCAAAAGTATCACTACATACCCAGGAGTGTATTTATCTCTCAGTTTTCCTGCAAAACCATTTTGTCTCCAGTTATAAAAGTTCATCTGCTTCTTAATAAAATCAGTAAATTAACAAGAATAATTCCATCTCCTTTATTAAAAAAGCTGTAAGACATCTCATTTATTCTGAGTGTTTCAGGCATGAAACTTAAGAAAAATAATTTACTAGAGTTGGCTGGATCTTTGGAACAAAACACTTCTATCTTGAAAGGCGCACTGATTTTTCCAATTAAATATTTAGCAAAAACGTAGACTGTATTCCTATTATTTTTCAAGCCTTATGAAAAGTGTTACTGCATTAAAAATTAAGATTCTTAAAATGATTATTGAAACTGATTAGCAGGAGGGAAAATATCCATAACCATTATACTTGATTTCTTAATAATGTTCTCTGAGAAAATCTGCAGGTAAAGGTTATTAAAAAAAACCTGATGGAATGAAAAATTGCTCTAAACTTTTCAAAAGAGAACAATTATTCTTCCTGAAAGCTTTTGTGTGTGTGAGTAGGCAAATGAAACTATTTTAATGGTTTCCTCAAGCTTTCTCCAGAAAATTCAGCTTGTATTTTAAGCTAAGGGCTATTCCACTTGTTCCTTGCATAAAGAATGGCTCTTCTATGAGGAAAAGTATTTTTTCAGGATAACAGGAAGACTGAAAAAAAAAATAAAAAGAGGCTTTTGTGCATATCAGGAAACACCTTAATATCATAAATGAACTAATGGATCCAAGGCATATCTGAGATGAGGATTCACCTCAGCTGCTTTCAGATGTTTGAAAGTTTTCTGAGGTGGTTTAATTCGTTCTATAACTGTTGGAATCTGAAATGCAGTGAACTCTCAGAACTTTGGGCCTGCAAGCCAAAGCTTAGTATTTAACACAGGATTTGATCTGAGACCTTGGAAAAGTCTTCCAAACTTAATTTCTGGAAGCAAGAATGTGGATTTATAGTCTAAAGCAGGGACACATTAAGCTACAAAGAGGAAAGTTAAAAGTTTTAGAGTTTAAGACATAAAAATAGAAGCAGTTACAAAAGTAAAAAAGGAGTTTAGAATGCACTACTGGAGGTTTGTGTGTCATAACATGATTGGCTAAGAAAGCTTACGCTGTAGCATGAGTCTATAAGACTAAGTATTTATGGGTTGTGTCAAAAGCACAAATATCCTTGTTGGCAGTGTTTTATTGGTCAATAAATCCTTAAAAGGCCTTGTAACTAGAGGTCTAGTGACCTTATGAGCCATCCAGTAAAGATGTGAGCCAAACTGACCCTTCCTGCCTATGTAGAAGATAAGAAAAACAAATCACATCATGTAAAGCAACTCAGAGGTCCCGTCTCAAATTCCTTCAAAATTCCTCACATATGGAGGGAGATAAGAATCATGGGCTGACAACCCACTGTCTTCAGGATATACCTACACTCCTAGCTTGGCTGCAGGTGGAACCTGGATAAATATAACTTTCAGGTGAATTCTTCTCTGTCTGTGTATCTCTAGGCATTGCTACCAGCACACAGGAACCTCTCCTTTTTCTGTGGTGGAAAAGAGATGATCAAAGCTGCTTGAACAACAAAACAAAAAGGCATTGCTTGGATATGAACAGCAAAAAAATATGGGTAATGTTTCCTGGCTGTGGACCCAAATGAATGAATCTGTTTTATTTAGATGGTAGCAGTTTCTACTGACTCAGACCACTTAACTGCTTTTTTAGCTGTCACCCTAAATTTATGGAAACTAGATATGAAAACAATTTTTTAAAATTTTTCAGCATATGCAGTAATTGAAATCTAAGGATTTTGCATCTTTGGTGTCATACTGGTTCAGAGCAATGGATAAAGAAATGAAATGTCCTAATGCCATAAATGGAAAAATCATATGTAATCTTAAAATGTACTCTTCATTAGTGAAAAGTTCTTAAACTTGGGAATGTACTTCACAAGATGACTCTGAACTGTTAGGTCTTCCCGCGCTGCAATATTATTCATTTATGCCTTGTCTGCCCCTTCAGTCCAGCTTCTCCTCTGCAGATGACATCTGTTTGCAAAAGAGAAGCAGTAATAAAGTTATGCCTCCCTTTATACTGGCAATTCACAATTTTGAAAGAGACCTGCCATCAGCAGAAAAAGAATCCATCTCCCTATTATTTAGTGTAATTTCATGCAAATCTTGTTCCCTTCTCAGGCTTTATGCAAGCAGATCTGGACAGATCTGGTCTTTTGTTTTGACTTGCAGGTTGTGGTGCCGTGCAATGATGACAAGACCTCAGCTTAAAAATCAAAACCCAAGATGTAGTCTTTAACTTTTTGGTGCTCCTGCTCACTGAGCTGTGTGTAACTCTCCCTGTGTTATCTGGCTGAGTCTGCAGCAGCTGCTGCTGCGGAGCTGCGTGGGAGAAACACAAAGGTGTAGTGGTGGAGTTACTGCAGTGACTCCTGTCTGATGGGCTGTGAAGTCAGCAGATTTCCATCCTCTGGTCCTCTAGAAGTACTTTTCTGTACAAATGTGCTGAAAGAGCAGCAGTTCTTCCACATAAACCCCAGGCATTTTGTTTTTGATTTGCAAAGAGAAAGAAAATTCTAATTATCATTCAATAATTTGGGAAAAAACACACAGGCAAAGCCAGCACTTTATAATCTGTAATAAGTAAGCACTCCCAGAACAAGCCATATTTGCAAGGAAAATTTGACACAGGGTTAAGGAAGAGAGGGATGAAACTTAATATGCACATTTATACATGACTGCAAAGAGAGAAGTCTGTGCTGATTGTGAGTTGTCCTGGGATTTGTAGCCACAGTTTCTAAGCAAAGCTAAACACTTTTAAAATGTTAGCTACTGAGTCTACCTGCTTACTCCTACCATCATCTGAAAAACATGTCAAAGAGCTTGATCAGGCACTTGGACTTTTGGACTATATTTTTTTAAGCATGGTAGAAGAAAAGATACTACTACCTGATTTTTTGGCCACATAGTGATTTATTTCCCTCTCACTTTCCCTGACAGCTTTCAAAAGATAACTCATCCAAGTTTCTCAGAAAGCAGTCTTGAGTCTCCTTCCTGTGCAGAGAAGCTGATCATATAGCAATTTTTGTGTCTTCTGTCTACAGTGCCATCATAATATTATGTATTGTAAACCCAAGATTGTTCTCCTGAAACATGAGAAAAACTTCATATCCTTGCCCTCTATCCCAAAGGGATATGTGTGAGTGCATGTGTAATACACCTGGGTGTCTGCCAGTGGATAGCTCTACTAATAGTTTGGTAACCCTAATAAAATTTTTATGTCCTTTCAGAACAGCTGCTATTCTTAACTGGTCCCTAAGATTTAAAAACACTATATACTTTGGTTTATCATTTGGTTAATCTTCCTAGTTAAAAAATCATTGCTAGCTTATGCACCCCCACGTCTCAAAAATCGTATGAAAAACCCTATAAACTTATGTTGTGGTCTCACCCCAGCTGGTAACTAAATATCCCCAGCCAAAATCAGCACAATTTAATAACCAGGCAATAAACAACAGCCATGGCTATATGCAAACCCTCTCTTTCTTTGTATTGCCCTAAAACCAATAACAATAAGCAGTTCAATGTGGATGGTATTAAAGCAGATTAGAAGCAGCTGTTCACAGGGGCTGAACCAGATTTGCAACTGATATAAATCAGGGAAAAAAAAAAAATCAATAGCTTTAACTGAGTGTGGTGGATACCCTCTGAAGATGTGGGCTGCTGCTTTTCATGTCTGGTGGATTTCTTCTTGCTATTTCCTATTTAAAATGGCTTATAAATGACTTATGCTTTAGAGAAAAGGTAGCAATGTCAGCTGGTTTTGTTGGAAAGAATTTTTGCCAAGGTTATTACCTCAAATGGTTTGCATCAGTAAATTTGGGAGGAGATAATTTTAAGGAGTTACTAGTGATTTCAGGCTTTTTTTACTGCTCCCGAAAAAGTAAGGATATTTCCCATGTAGCAATTTAGCAAAGCTTCAAGCTATTGCTTAATTAAATAAGGATAAGTTTTGGGGATGATAATGTATGTGGGAAAGATCTAATATAAGAGAAGAAGCCAAATATAGTTGTTATTTTTCCTTCAAGAAGCTGAAAGGCTTGCCATGTTTTTAGACAATGCAAAAGTGGGGCTTATTTTCACAGAAGACCTCTACGTAAAACAAACAAATTCTTCTCTCTTCATCAGTCTGGAAATATTTTAATGTTGGTATAAAAACAAGGGAACATTTCCAACAGTAGTAACTGATATCTGCTTATTGCTGTATACTTTCCTGTTGTAATCTCTGTGATACAATTAGAAAAAGCCTTTAATGTGCAACTACAACTATTTATCATTTCATTAGGTTAAATATTTGAAGATGATAAAGAGGACTCAAGATTTCTAGGCCTGACCTTTAAATAGGAGTTTAACACTTGATTTTTTTGTTTGGGTTTTGGTGATGGTTTATTTGTTGGGTTTTTTAGTGTCTTAAAGTTAGGACTCTTAACCATGCAGAACAGGAAAGACTCAAAATGTTTCTACAAATTTTGATCATGAGTTCTTAAGTCAGATGGCAAATCTGTGCAACTGCAACTTATAAATTTCTTGTGTAGTTTTCCACAGACAGTTCAGATGGAAGGGGATGTGGAGTTGCTTCTAGTTGAACTTAGTGATCAGAGCAACTTGTTTAAGGCTTGATTAAGTTAGATCTTAAACTTTCAAGGATGAAAATTCTGCAAACTCTGTTCAGGGTTTTAGAATAATCAATTATCTGCTTAATGAAAACCTTGGCTACAGACTGTGTCAGTCTGTCCTGGTTCAGTTTAGGAGCCCTGTTTTTCCTTTTTATCTATACACCTTAGAGAATGGAGGACACAAATCCCTCTTCTTGGTAATTTACTCCTAGGCAGAAGACTGCTTTTACATCTTCCCTAAGCCTTCTGTTCAGGATAGAGTTGATCCCCATGTAACCTCACTCTCAGTCCAGGAATCACACTGGTTGGTTCAGTTTTTATTTGGTTTTGATTGGGGTGAGGGAGCTGAGAAGTAGTTGTTTCAAACTGGACAACCAAACTGAAATGTTCAGGAAATATGGCCCCATTCGGTCTCTGTTAAATAATCTGCTATCTGTCTATAAATACATAGGCGTGTAATAAGAAGCAATAGGAAGCATGTGTTGCTAGTCTTCTCATCTTGCCTTTTTCTCCCTGTCATTGGTTTTTCTTTTTTTTTTTAATTGTAAATTCTTCCGAAATTTTCTAATTTGACCCTACAGAACTTAAGCCAATTAGGTGTGAGCACAATAGAGGTAATTATTAGAAGCATCAACATTGTTTTATGACAGCAAAATCCTGCCAAGAACAAATAATAAGATTAATTCATTCTCTGCAACTGTCCCCAGCCTCTGTCACTGGATACAACAAAAAGTCAGGAGATTACTTAGCCTGAAAAATAGTATTTAATCCAATTCTAGCTGAAGAGAGGTTTTGAGGTAGATGGAATAACTGCATTTGCATACAGTATTGTGTTGTAGTCCTCACAGCAGTGCAGAGGAGGCCGGAATATGTTTGTGTACTTGGTTTTTGCACTATTAAGTTGATATTTGGTAGGATACAAAAGCAGTCAAACAATATGGACAAGTCCTTGATGGTCACTGCCTTACAGCTCAGCATAATACAGAGCTATTTCTTATGACTATAACAAATAAAAATGCATAATCGGATGCATAATAAAAATGCATAATCAGACTTTCTTTCAAAAATTATGCACATATCAAGTTTTTTTGACCCAAAGAATAAATAAATTCCAAATATTTGAAATTATCCAAAAATTCTCACAATTCCTGTGAAGTAGCTATATGTCTTTGACCTTAGAACTAGAAATGACAGGAAATTTCACCTGCTAAATGAAAATAATTACCTTCTTTATGTCAAGACCTAAGAAATAAAATGAAGATATTTTATGTGAGCTGCTGCTTCTACAAAAGACCTACTTTTTGACTTTAGGGGTATTGACAGATGGTGATTCCTAAATTGGAAACCAGGTACCAGCTGTGGTCCTGCTGTCTTCAAGCCACTCTTGACTCTGCCAGGGTCTGCAGTGTCTCCTCTGAGTACAATGGGTCAGCTGATGTAATCAAGTTCCTTGAACACTCCTCTGAATGCAGCCCTGCAGGATGAGGGTTCACAGTGAAAACAAACAATGTGGACAAGTGAGAATCACTTGGAAGGCCAGCCTCAGCTAGTCAGGTTGCTCTGTCAAATTCTGTGTGTGACACAAATAATATTTAAGCCCAGTACTTAGAGTAAAATGGAATCACTCCATTAGTATTGCAGTACTGAGCACATGCCAGGAATGGTTATGGGGCACATCAAAACTGTTCTAAAATTGTCTGCAGAAATTAATGGCTGTAACCACTCAGTTCCCTCTGATCACTACTGCATTTAACACCAGCAGCACACTTCCAAAACTCACAAATAGGAAGGAAAAAAATGCACTGAACCTCACATCATCATCATCATCCAGCAGAAATCTTACAGACTCATTAAGCAGCAAATTAACACTGTTTGTAAAAATTATGATGCAAATATGAAACACTATAATCAGCTGCAGCTAGTAGTTCCAGTTAGCTAATGGAGGAGATCTGTAGATTAGGTGTATCTCTCCCATCCTTCACTTTCTG